GCTGGACCTGACACCGCCTCTGTACCCTGCTAAAGGTCACTGTCCTGTCCAATTACCAAGCCCCTTCCCCCCCTCCAGACAGACTCTCCCTCAAAAGAACCTGACTGAAACAGTAATGGAGAGAAACAAACATTTTATTGCGAACCAGACATGAAACGTGGGGGGTGAAACTTGGACGGGGGCTTGTGTGAGGTGGGTAGGAAAGGACTTATGAAATTTTGGGGAATGTCAGCCTTCTAGTGCTAGAGCAGTCTGCAGGGGTTGACTGAAAGTTTTAACGGCCCTTGCCGCCCCTCCTTCTTTGGAGTTTGGGTGAGGGTGGTGTGGGACTTGGTGGCGGGTGAGGGCGGTTACAGATAGACTGCAGCGGGGCTCTGTCCTCCTGCCTCCGGTCTTGCAGAACATCCACAAGGCGCCGGAGCGTGTCCGTTTGCTCCCTCATTAGTCCAAGCAGCTTTTCAGTAGCCTGTTGGTCCTCCTGACGCCACCTCTCCTCCCGTTCCATGACTGCTCGGTGCATTTGTGACAAGTTCTCCCTCCACTGTGTCTGCTGGGCTGCCTGGGCTCGGGAGCATCCCATTAGTTCTGAGAACATGTCTTCACGCGTCTTCTTCTTCTTCCTCCGCCTAATCTGCGCTAGCCTCTGGGAGTGTGCTGACAGGCTGGGTTGGGAGACAGTCGCAGATGTGTCTGTGTGAATTGTAAAAAGGGAGTGAATTCCTGAGACAGATAAATGAAATTGTATACAAAGAACCTAGTCTTTCTCTGTGAACAAGACCATGCACTGAACCTCTCACATGCGCACTCAGGACAAGGTCGAATTTTCGGCCGTCGCCTTCAGTGCCTGTGGACTTGCGGAGGTCTTGGAGTGTTCAGAGAACTGTGGCTGGAGACCTGAACTTCTGGAGCGGGCAATAATGGTAAGCCGCAGACTTGTGGCTGCTTAAAACTCCAGCAGTAGCACTGGCCTCCTTTCACATTGAAAGCAATGCCAGTTTCTGCTGCCAGCAATCAGGACAGCATCAACTCTGCCCCTGTCCCACCCCCTCGCGGCTGTCCCAGGGAAAGATCCCTGTATGCTGCCCCTCTCCCTCCACCGCGTGGCTGTAAAGCAGTCCCAATACTAACATTCCCCTCCCTAATTCAAAGCAGGGCGTCATGAGCGACATCACCCTCCTGAGGATCCCGGACACCCAGAGAGAACGCATGCTGCGGGAAAGCATGCAGAAACCGGGGCCGTATGCCGCCATGCTATGTCGTGCGATGATCCCGGAGTACTTGATTGTGGCGTGGAGGGGACATGTCTGCTACCACGGAGGGCCCACTAAGATCGCCCTACCCCGGAACCTGATCAACAGGCTTGAGCTCTACCTCCACGAGACCTACGAGGAGTTCTCCTACGAGGATTTCTCGTCGATCCCCGGCCACATTGACCGGATTTTCGCGTAGGTGCACTGGGACTTTGGAGTGGAGCGTCTTGGGCCTGGGAATCATGTAGTAACGGACATTGTGAAAATTTTTTAAAACACTTGGGACTAAATTGAGAAGAGCCTAAGACAGAGAAATCATGAAAACCCATTTGTTACCTTTGTAAATATTCCTGTTTTGTACCTGATTATTTTTTTACTAGTTTACAGAACTTTTATAAATATACATTGTTAATAGTATAAATATTACCGTTCTGTTTTAAATAAATGTTTACATGTTTACAGCACTTACTGCTTGATCCTTCCCCTGATTCTGTGTCCGGGGTAAGGGATGGGGACGGTTGGTACGGGATCTCGGTAAGGGTGATGAAGAGCTCCTGGCTGTCGGGGAAATCAGCGGTGCCAGCGCTGTCGACTGCCTCGTCCTCCTCATCTCCTTCTTCATCTTCCCCGTCCGCTGTCATGTCCGACGAGGAACCGGCCGCGGACATGATCCCATCCTCGGAGTCCACGGTCAGGGGTGGGGTAGTGGTGGCGGCCGCTCCCAGGATGGAATGCAGTGCCTCGTAGAAACGGGATGTGTGGGGCTGGGATCCGGAGCGTCCGTTAGCCTCTTTTGTTTTTTGGTAGCCTTGTCTCAGCTCCTTGATTTTCACGCGGCACTGCGTTGCATCCCGGCTGTAGCCTCTCTCTGCCATGGCTTTGGAGATCTTCTCGTAGATCTTAGCATTCCTTCTTTTGGAGCGCAGCTCTGAAAGCACGGACTCATCGCCCCACACTGCGATGAGATCCAAGACTTCCCGATCAGTCCATGCTGGGGCCCTCTTTCTATTACATTGCACGGCCATCTCTGCTGGAGAGCTCTGCATAGTTGCCACTGCTGCTGAGCTCCCCTCGATGTCCAAAGAGGAACTGAGATTCAAACTGCCCAGACAGGAAAATGAAAATGAATTCAAATTTTCCCGGGGGTGTGGCTGGTCAGAGCATCCGAGCTCGGACTGCTGTCCAGAGCGTCAACAGAGTGGTGCACTGTGGGATAGCTCCCGGAGCTATTACCGTCGATTTCCATCCACACCTAGCCTAATTCGATATGGCCATGTCGAATTTAGCGCTAATCCTCTCGTTGGGGAGGATTACAGAAATCGATTTAAAGAGAGCTTTATGTCGAACTAAATGGCTTCCTGGTGTGGACGGGTGCAGGGTTAATTCGATATAACGGCGCTAAAGTCGACATAAAAGCCTAGTGTAGACCAGGCCTCAGGGATTTGTTTTGAAAATTCACAGTAGATTTCCAGTTACTGTTTTTATCTCCACAAAGTACTTGTCTGCAAACCTAGTTTTCTTTTTGCCTTGACACTCATAATTAAATAGTTAAAACTTGCCCACTTATTTTTTATTTTTACCTCGTCTATGAAACAAACATAACTAAAATGGGGTGGGAGGGGATCAACAGTTATCATGAAAGTGAGTAAATGTGTGCCCAGATGTCTGTCTCTTGAAGTTAGGGGCTGAACCTTGAATGCAAAGTTTCACCCTATAAATGCAAGGGCTGAAAAAACAGGCACCTTAACCATATAGACAGTTTTGAATTCTGCTTGCAATAAGAATAGGTGAGTAGAACTATGCATTTTATGGTACGGTTTTGTGTGCTGCAGTTGTTTTTAATTTAATGGCACTCCCAAGTGGCCAAAGGAGTGTACATCAGTTTAGATCAGCAGCATGCTACCTATAGTCAGTATGCCACAGTTGTAAACTTTATGCTGTGATTGGAATTGCAAACAAACAAAAGGATGTATCTACACTTCAAACTGGGAGTTTGATTCCCAGTTCGAAGAGACATACTTGCATTAGTGCTCAGTGAGCCTACATGCTAAAAATAGAGTGTACACATGGAAGCACAAGTGGCGAGAGAAGCTAGCTGCCCCGAGTACATGCCCATCCAAGACCCTAGACATTTACTTGGGGTGGCTAGCCCGTCCAGTGGCTCGCACTACTGCAGCTATATTATATGTTTAGCTGTTAGTTTCATCAGAGCTAATGTGGGTATGTCTTCTCAAGCTGGGAATCACACCTGCAGCTCCAGAAGTAGACATACCCAGAAACTCCACAGGTTAAACAAACTGTTCTCTGCCAAGCTCCAAAGAGTGTTGTGTTTTATAATAAAATATTACAATCTCTGTAAGCGTGGTTTCATTAGAACACAAGATTGGAAGTCAGGAGATCTGGACTGTAATTGCAGTTTTGCCACAGACTTGCTTTGTGACTTTGGGCAAATCTCTTAAAGCCTGATTCTGAAAGGTGCAGCTGCTCCCGCTGGTGCACTGGGTGTTCAGATTACTTCCCAGGGGGAGTGAATGAAATCTGTTCTTTTAACTGTTTAAAATAAAAACATCTATTTTTGCTTTGGCCAGAGTTACTAGTTGATGTCACAATTCACTCCTGTTAGAAGTAAGTTCAGTGCTGACCAGTCGAATGCTTAATTTATATATATCAGAGAGGTAGCCGTGTTAGTCTGGATCTGTAAAAGCAGCAGAGTCCTGTGGCACCTTATAGACTAACAGACGTATTGGAGCATGAGCTTTCGTGGGTGAATACCCACTTCGTCAGATGCATGTAGTGGAAATTTCCAGAGGCAGGTATAACTATGCAAGCAAGAGTCAGGCTAGAGATAACGAGGTTAGTTCAATCAGGGAGGATGAGGCCCTCTTCTAGCAGTTGAGGTGTGAACACCAAGGAAGGAGAAACTGCTTTTGTAGTTGGCTAGCCATTCACAGTCTTTGTTTAATCCTGAGCTGATGGTGTCAAATTTGCAGATGAACTGAAGCTCAGCAGTTTCTCTTTGAAGTCTGGTCCTGAAGTTTTTTTGCTGCAGGATGGCTACCTTTAAATCTGCTATTGTGTGTCCAGGGAGATTGAAGTGTTCTCCTACAAGTTTTTGTATATTGCCATTCCTAATATCTGATTTGTGTCCATTTATCCTTTTACGTAGGGACTGTCCAGTTTGGCCGATGTACATAGCAGAGGGGCATTGTTGGCATACGATGGCGTATATTACATTGGTGGACGTACAGGTGAATGAACCGGTGATGGTGTGGCTGATCTGGTTAGGTCCTGTGATGGTGTCGCTGGTGTAGATATGTGGGCAGAGTTGGCATCGAGGTTTGTTGCATGGATTGGTTCCTGAGTTAGAGTTACTATGGTGCGGTGTGTAGTTACTGGTGAGAATATGCTTCAGGTTAGCGGGTTGTCTGTGGGCGAGGACTGGCCTGCCACCCAAGGCCTGTGAAAGTGAGGGATCGTTGTCCAGGATGGGTTGTAGATCACTGATGATGCATTGGAGAGGTTTTAGCTGGGGACTGTATGTGATGGCCAGTGGAGTTCTGTTGGTTTCTTTCTTGGGCTTGTCTTGCAGTACACGTCTGGCTCTGTTGATCTGTTTCCTTATTTCCTCGTGTGGGTATCGTAGTTTTGAGAACGCTTGGTGAAGATTTTGTAGGTGTTGGTCTCTGTCTGAGGGGTTGGAGCATCAGCTCCAACACTTTCAAAGAGAAACTGCTGAGCTTCAGTTCATCTGCAAATTTGACACCATCAGCTCAGGATTAAACAAAGACTGTGAATGGCTAGCCAACTACAAAAGCAGTTTCTCCTCCCTTGGTGTTCACACCTCAACTGCTAGAAGAGGGCCTCATCCTCCCCTGATTGAACTAACTTCGTTATCTCTAGCCTGACTCATTCTTGCTTGCATATTTATACCTGCCTCTGGAAATTTCCACTACATGCATCCGACAAAGTGGGCATTCACCCACGAAAGCTCATGCTCCAATACATCTGTTAGTCTATAAGGTACCACAGGACTCTTTGCTAATTTACATATAGTTATAAATAAAATGTATAATCTCTTTTTGTTTGTCATATATAGGAAACGTGACTATGAAGGGTTTCTATGTTCTCTGTTGTTGCCTGCAGAATCCCGCACCTCTGCTTTTGCTCTGAGAGCCTTCAACGTTGAACTGGCCCAGGCAGGTATTAAAATATATTTGTGAAATACTGAACTAACACAATCATTTCAAGACTCTAGGTTGAACTGTAAAGAAGTGTTATATGCTGAGATTAAAGTTTTGTGTTTCAAAGGGTGATAAACAGATGGTCCACCACAAAACCCCAGATCTAAACACCTGTAGAAACTGAGGGGGCTTAGAATCTAAACTTAGGAGTCAGCTGCACAATTCAGATCCATCTGGAGAGGATCAAACCAAAAACCTTGAGGGCAGATTCATTTCTAGGTCTATGCTGGCAGAGACTTGGCAGACTTTCAGGAGGGAAGGTTGCAGATTTAAAAAACAACAACAATGTGGTTACATCGTCTCTCTGCTAGATGGCTGTAGTAGGCTATACTTCTCTAATGTCCCCTTGGGCAGAGGGTGGGCAGTGCTTCTGTCTCTGGTGCACAGCCCTCCAGCTGTGCTGTTCAGGGCATCTGCCCCCTGGTGGGAGGAGTTAAAGTAGTCCAAACAAAAAGTCAGTATGCTTCCACAGCTCTCAAAAAGCAGAGCCCTGGGCCTTCAGGGGGGAGGGATAGCTCAGTAGGGGGGAGGGATAGCTCAGTGGTTTGAGCGTTGGCCTGCTAAACCCAGGGTTGTGAGTTCAATCCTTGAGGGGGCCATTTGGGGATTTAGTTGGGGATTGATCCTGCTTTGCGCAGGGGGTTGGACTAGATGATCTTCTGAGGTCCCTTCCAACCCTAATATTCTATGATTCAGGAAGCCAAGGAGAAAAATAAGAGAAAAGTACCTGCCCTTCTCTTTCCTGAGAGGGCTTCGGCAGCCAAGACTCTCAATCCATTTCCTGGTCAGCAACCCCTATTGCAAGGTGCTGGGGAACACCTTCAGAGTGCCACCCTACACGGAGCAAGCATCATCCTCCCTTTTAAGGACCTGCTTATCTGCAGGCTTGACAAGCTTCACAAGTGTGCTGCTGTGTTAAGGCTGATTTTGCCCAGAGAAGCTCTTTAACTCCTTCTTGACTGGGGTGGAGATCTGCCCCACCACAGTGACCCACAAACTGCCAGTTGATGCTTGCAAGGAAGGCCTTGCTAGAACAGCCCAGGGGATGTGCTGGTTAAACATAATCCTGTTCAGCCACTGTTGTCAGGACTCTTGGCAAACTCCTGGCAGAATTTAAAGCTGCCCTCCCTAGCAGTGGGAACGCTGCCTGTGATCCCCTGGCGTGGATTCCTCTGAGGTGAAACTGGTCCAGGACCTGAACTTTGTGTGTTTGAAATCCAGATTCTGATCTGGATTTTGTGGTTCAGCCCAGTCTCATAATACATGTGCCTTCAGAAGAATATTTGAAATAGCTGCTTGTCTTTGGGTTTCAGTAGTGCGATGCTGAATCTTTAAAAAATATATTTTATATCTGTGATTAAAAAGCATAAGAAAATCTCAAGAGCAGTAAAACAAATACTAATCAGAAAAACAAGAATTACATTAGTATGCAATAGCTTGCTGAAGTTTAGTATTTTAATTGTCAAGTGATACATATAAAAATATTATCTAGTAGCAATGTTTAAAAATTGCTTAGTAATCTAGTTGAACTGAAGGAGGTAGATGTGATTTTTGTGATAGGTAAAGCAAGTGACTAAGGTGAAATGTACAACAAAGCAATCTTTTATAATTTACAGGAAGATTTGGGCAAAGTGTTTGATCTTCACTGTGGAATATTAGACACATTTTTGTTTGTCAGAGGTATTGGCCCTTCCTGCGAACTGCTTGTCTATAGTCATAGACTTCTTATTGGAAAATTGCATGACTGGAGAAAAGCTGATTTTTACACAGGCATGATCGATGAAAAAATCTTAATTGTTGCATATTTTGGTGAACTGATGGAGAGCCAGTTGAAACTTTAAGTTAACTGTAAATTTTTTTTTTAATAAAATACCAGAATAGCTTGGCAAAATGTTTAAAGAATAAAATTGTTCATTTAGTATGCTATGTCCGTGGGGTGAAATCCTGCCCCGATTATTTCCCCCTCCCTGAGTTTTGCCATTGATTTCAGTGGGGCTAGGATTTCACCCAACATGTGTTGTTTCATTTGGGATATGTGTGGCCATATTTTTGAGAGAAGCTGAGTGCCCACAGCTCCTGTTGATTCATGGGTAAGCTGCTGGTGCTCAGCACCTTTGAAAATCAAGCCGTTAATTATTAGGGGCTTGTCCCTGTGAGATGCTGAACCTGTAGGTTGCATTGGGGAGCTGAAAACTCAGCATCGCTGGCAAGGCACTTAGTGCCCAAACCTGCAAGATGATAAGGTATCCCAGACTGCAAATAATTTAACATTCTGCCTTGTACATCATCACAAACAATTGAACACTGGAATCCAAGCTCTGCTGGCAGTTTTCTTGTTGATAGATATGTCACTATCTGACTTGTTCTCTTGCAGCTGTTGAAATCCTGATAGTAGTAAAAGTTTGACTCACTCCTGCAAGCCCTCAGTGTCTTTAATGCCTTCATTTTGAAGTCATGTTAAAAAAAGAAAAAGAAATAGTACGTGTGTGTGTATATAGGTATAAAAATTGTATGTATTTTATTTTCTCCTTCTCCTACTCCTTTTGTATGTTGCTCACTGTTTTAGATTGTAAACTCTTTGGGCAGTGACTGTGGTCTAACAAATTAGGTGTTGTGAGGCTGAGTGTCACAACTTCTAACTTTTAGGCACCTAGAAAATCCCTGTGATTCACAAAGCCTGACCCCTGATTTACACTCCATAATTACTTTGGTGTAGCTACGTTGCTCAGGGGTGTGAATAATCCACACCCCTGAGTGACATACTTATACCGATGCAAGTGCCAGTGCAAACAGTGCTATATTGGCAGGAGAGCGTGTCCTTTTTGTGGTGGTAGAGGTATAAAGCCAACGGGAGAGACCTCTCCCATTGTCTTAGAGCATCTTCACCAGAAGCTCTACAGCGGCACAGCTACTGCTCATAGCTACTGTGCTGCTGTAAATTTGTAGTGTAGACCTGCCATGAGTTAAGTCCCTAACCTCCTATACAATTAATGGTGAGAGACACCTTCAACTGTGATTCACAAAAGCCATCATGCTGGGCAGGGAGCCACCTAAGCTAGTCATCCAATAAGAGGGGTGTGTGCTACAATTCGCCCTTGTCTTGGAGAGAGGCACCTAAGTCTGGGCTGCAGGGAGGCGCCCATGTTGTCTTGGCATTCTCAGCTGCAAACACTCTATTTACAGTAGGTGCCTACACTGTTAGCAAAAAGCCACAGGGGAGGAAGAGGACTTTTCTCAACTTTTAGCCCAGTGGTTAGGATACTCACCTGGGATATGGGAGACCCCTGGTTCAAGTCCCTCTTCTACCTGAAGGGAAGAAAGGATTTGAACATTGATGTGACCCCTCTTAAGTGAGTGCTCTAACCATTGGGTTATGGGATATTCTGATGTGGGGCTCCCTCAGTCTTTCATGTTGAAGTTCTTGCACTCTGACTAAATAAAGTCAATGGATTAGGGGACTAGATCCTAGGTCTCCCACTTCCTAGGTAAGTCCTCTATGAGTCCTCAAATGACCAAGTTGGTCTACACTACACTGTAAGTTGATCTAAGTTACGCTACTTAAGTTATGTCGACTTCAGTTACATAACTGAGATCGACTTACAGTAGTGTCTGCACTGAGCTATGTTGACAGGAGATGCTCTCCTGTGGACATAGCTTCTGCTTCTCAGGGAGGCGGAGTAGAGACTTGATGGGAGAGCACTCTGCCATCAGTTTAGCTTGTCTTCACCAGACCTGCTAAATCAACACCGCTGCATTGATCGCAGCAGTGCCAATTTAGCTTGGAGTGTAGACATGGTCTTACTTGTGAAAGATGCATACTGATGGCATGTGATCAGAAAAATCATTCAGGAAAGATGATACTTAGTTATGCTCTTTAAGTGTCGTAAACTAAATGCCTCCATTAGACTGTAAATTTCACTCGTAAATATATTCTTTCCAGATTAAAGACTCCATAACACAGAAGACCATAGGTTTGATGCGAATGCAGTTTTGGAGGAAAGCTGTGGAAGATATATACTGTGATAACCCACCACATCAGCCAGTTGCTATAGAACTGTGGAAGGTAAAATATCTTTCCTGTCTTAAAATTTACGCACAATTATTCTTTTACCTGCGGAAAATGTTTTGTTGTTTTGCATATGCTATACTGCATACTAACTGTATTTTGTGTTATACAGATATTGTATGATATTTTGTATGTGTTATACTAAGAGCAGCCTGAAGCAAAAAAGGGAGAGATGGACAGTCATAAAGCTGATATCTAGGGAGAAGTTACCAGAAAAATGTAGCAACTAGTCAGAACTATGTTAATCAGAGAATTTGCCTTCTAACCAGGTGAAGGGACAAAATCATTAGAGTGACAATTGTAAATCAGTACCAATTAAAGTGTTTAAGTAAACTTTCCTCAGCCTCTGCTAGCCTTTTCCAAAGGTTTAAGAACTAAAAGAAGACTGAAATTAGTGTGATCAGAGACTAAAGCCAGAAAGGAGACCATACAAAGAAAGATACACTATAGGAGGCCCACACCCTCACAGTTAAAACTATAATGCACACTATTTCGTATTCCAATGCATTCTGACTCCCTAGAAAACTGCATAGCTGACAGTTGGTCATTTAAAACAAAAAAAAAAAACTGGCACAAAATGCAAGTCCTGATTTGGATGCTGAGTTACAGGGATTCTATGTACCTGCCAACTTTTGAAATATTTGCTTCAAGACACCTTTATGTAAGTTCATGGAAGCTCCAGAACAACAAACTCAAGCATGCCTACAATTTAGCATCTCCGCTGGCCATGGTTGGGGACAAAATGACCAGCTGACCAAACCTGTTCACTCTAGTTAGGACCCCCACTGCACCAGATAACTGATGGTTGCCTGTACTTAACATGGGAATAAATAGACCCCAATATGTTGCTTTACAGTTATGATTTCCAGCTGGGATAGGTCACTGCCTTAGGACCACAGACTAACATCTTAGACTCTCCATCTAAGGCGTCATGTGCCTCTGTCCGTGTTGAAAGTGCAGAAAAAACAGGGAAACCCCCTGTAATGGTGGGTGTCTATGCTACAATTCCTGTATGATTAGAGGGTTCACTTGAGGGCATCATGGCTCCCCATCTACTGCCTGTTGTTTATCTGAGGTCAGAGATCACAGCCCTTTACTATCCCCTTTTTCTGATGTTGGCACTGCTGAGTTAATGGACGCACCCAGTGTGCTCTTCCTCCTGTGATGCCAAGCACAAGTCAGTACTTGTTTCTGTCAACAATCCTATTCAAATTATAAACAAGAAACTGTTGAAGAAAGAGAGAAAACACTGGTAATACCAAGAAATAAACAGCATCTACTTGAGTCTCATCTAGGAGATCCAACATTATTCCTAGATATCTCCAACTCAGAATTTATTTATTTCTTTAGCCACAACAAAGCTCTAATATAATTAAAACAGAAGCTGGCAAGTATTCTGGACCTTAGTTATAGATTATTCGATTCAAAGCCCCAATAGAACAGACTAAATGTCTTTGGTGCAAAGGGTAAAATTTGATATTGGTAACCTTATTTCTGCACCTTTTTGCTTTTTATTCACTTTCTCTCTCTCTCTCTCTCTCTCTCTGCCCCAGTACATGCCAGACTGCCCACAAGCAAGCTGGTCTCTTTGTTCTCCCACAGTGTCTGTGCTTCCAGTAATGGATTTGGTCCTCGGTTACTCTTTTTTTCCGTTCCAAAGGTCCCCTCCTGTTTGGTTGTCTCTTGTCTGGATCTAATAGATTCAGCATACCCTAAGCCAGTGTATGTCTAAACATGTTCTTCCCAACTCTCCTCATTGGGGCCTGCTTGGATGAATAACAATGGTTTCTTCCCAAAGGATAATTGTAGAAAACATCATATGGATGAGCATCTGTATAAAATGCCAGATTTTGAGATAGTTAGACCTGCTGGTCATATACCCTCTTTCCAGGGAGCAAACCAATCTTGTAATGGGGGGAGGGGAATAGATCCATTCCTGCAACAAGGGTTGCTCTCATACCTGGCTTCTCTATCAGGCCCTTCAAACAGAATCAATTGCCAAATGAGCTTGTGAGAAATAGTTCAAAAAGCTTAAAAGCATTTCTTGGATGTTCAATCAGCTTTGGGGGGCAAAGAGAACACTGAGGCAAACTAACAATCTCCTTGGATTACCTCATAATGGTGCACTCATATTGGTTCCTGGAGTTGTGATTTTATTTCTTGTGCCGTTGGACACATCTGGAATGATCCTGTATGGTCATTTCAGTCTTTGCAGAGAGTAGCTGCTCAAAAAAGGACAGGTTGTTATAAAAATAAAAAACAATTCCTGTAAAAAATAACTTGAAAAAGCAGTCCAAATTCATGGATAACCTGCAGACCTCTCTCGTAGCCCAATTCATAGAGCTTCTTTAGTTAATGTTTCTTCTATCAAAAACATTGCATACTATATTTTCATTACTAGGTTTGCACGGGGAACAATTGCAGTTTTACACATGAGTTATCAGTTTGGTATTTATTAAATATCTATTCCCAAATATTTTATATGCAATATGGCCAACATTTTCAAACTTGGTTCCCAAAGTTTGGTGAACAAATTCATATGAAGGCCCCTAAATAAAACTAGCCTGATTTTCAGAGGTGCTGAACGCTTGCAGCTCCCATTGATTTTAAAAGCCTAAATATGGATTTAGGCACTGAAGTTTAGACACCCATGCTTGAAAACTCTGATCTTTGAAAATGTTTTGTATTTTATCAGGAAACTCATCAGATTGTACGTGAAATTACAATGTATGTGTGGGCTATCTTTTCAAAAGTGACCTCTAACTCCATCTTGAATGCCAGTTGAGACACTGAGCGCCTAATTTTAAACACATTTCAGTGGGAGTTGTCAGTGTTCAGAACTTCAGTCAGGACCTGTATGTCTGAAGTTATGCACCCAAAATTAGAAGTAATTATTGACAATTTGGGCCACAGTATCTGTAATTTAACAGAACTTAACTTGCTGCTTCTTGACCACTATGGCACTGTTGCAGCCAATGCACTTACCAGACAGTTAGTGCTGACAAACTGGGAAACCAGTTGGGCATCTAAGGCCTAATCTAAAGTCTACTGAAATCATTAGAAAGATGTACCTTTTGCAACATTTTTTTAAATATCTGCAGAAATAGTTATTTAGGGTTTAAATTAGATGTAAAGAGGCAGATAATGATCTATAGAAAGCCTTGATTCTGAGAACAGACTGCTCCTAAACTTCTATCGTAAACAGTTAATCATGTCAGACTTATTATACTCAACAGGACATACTGGCTGCAAAATTGAAGGTGATTTTGAGGGAATTATTGTAAATAATAAGATTGAAAAAAACGGAATAGAATGGAGCAGCTGTGGAAGGAGGGCAAGAGTTTGACAGAGATGAGTGGCTGAACAGGAGATGGTAGAGGATTATCAGTTTTCTATAATAAAAGTAATAATTATAATTAATATATATATAAAATACTCATGTATATTAGAATATTATGTATAAACAGTATCTATTGACATAATATATATTCTCATACTACTTATTGTTCTCCTGAAAAAACATTTGGGAAGTGAACAATGTGATCTGCAAATATTTTGTGGAAAGTTATAATAGAATGACTCAGTAATGGAATGAATGAGTAGACTTAATTACATTTTAAAGAAAATATATTTTTTAAAATTTCTCCTTCACTTACGTGTTGGCTTGAGGCACAAGATTCTGTTTTTTCTGTAGCTGTAGTAAAGAGAGATCAGTTGAAAAGTTTTATACTTAATTTTCTTTATTACACACATTTTATTCTTCCATTTTGATTTAACCCAGCTGATACTGAGCAAGTCAAATCTTACTTTTAATAACAAAAAATCATTAAAAAAAATTACAGCCTTGATCATACCTTGCTTTCAATAATTTTCCAAATTTTTCTTTTTTCTAAACTGTAACATGGCTTTTCTTTGTTCATTTCCAGGCTATCAAGAGACATAACTTGACTAAAAGGTGGCTTCTGAAGATTATTGATGGAAGAGTAAGTAATTTTTTAATCTGTTGTATGCATTTTAATTTTTCCTCTCATTTTTGACTTTTTGAATCATGTGTACCTAACCAAAACTTAGAGCTCATCTTTTCTGTTTCTGTATGGTTGTATTCTCTTCTTTGAACAGAAGTGTCCTATATACTGGCCCTTGGTAGTTTTTAAAAATTTCTCCCTTGCTTTAAAACTCCACTCCTTGAGACTCCATTTCATACTCTATTATCTTTGTGGCCATGGTGGAGAGGGTAGAACTTCAAATTTTTTGCTTTAAAAAACTGTAGTTTTCATGAAAGCTTGCAGATTGTCAGCTCTGAAAACGAATGCCCTCACTTTCGCAATATCAGTGCAAGCTTCCTAATGCCACCCTGCAAATTTACCTCACTGCTGACTGGAGGGTCTAGGGGTCTGTGGGCTTATGTGGTGCTTAGACCTTGGGCTGGCCCTCTGCACAGAGGTGAGTTTCCCTTCAAGAGATCAGAGACAGTTAGCTCTCACACACAGCTGGCTTCCAGTCAATTCTCATTTCTAAAAGATGCAGTGCTCTGCAATTTATAAGAAGTCAAAGTGAAAAACTTTCTCAGACTGTCTTTTCATGCCATCCTATTCCTATCCACTTACTACATCATAGTCTCCTGACAGCATTCTGTGACCTTGTCTGTTTGGCTTTTAGAAATTACTTTAAAATATTTCTATATTGCCTCATATCAAGATGAGTTATGAGCTTAAAATCTCAAACAAATGTCATTTATGATTACATGCACTTTTATATTGCCTTCCCTACAAGATCTATATATATCTAAGGTACTTATATGGCCCTGATTACCTTAGTTGTCTGAACGCCTCACAGTCTCTAATGTATTTATCCTTGCAACACCCCTATGAGGTAGGGAAATGCTAATATCCCCATTGTACAGATGGGGAACCGAGGCACAGAGAAGTTAAGGGACTTACTGAAGGTCACACGGGAAGCCTGTGGTGAAGCAGGCTATTGAATCTGGGTCTCCAGTCTCCTGGATCATACTTCCTATCAGAACACTTTATAAATATTTATTACTTTAACATCACCACATTGGTGTGAGGTAGATAAGTATTAATATGCACATTCTGCACTGAAACTAAGGGACTTGGAAGTCCAGTGACTCGCCCAAGCACACACAAGGCGTCTATGGCATAGACCATCCAGGTCTCTTGACTCTCAGGCTTGTATGTTTTATCCACAAGACCAGCCTTCCTGTCATAGTGAGTGAGTGTTCTATTTCTGATAGCATTTGCATGAGACAGCCAAGTACACTCAGTAGTTTAAAAGTGCTTTTAAAAAGCACACACTAGAGGAACATATTCTGATATCTGTAATTTTCTTTCACTGAGATATAAGCCTCATTCACTGACAATGGAATAGAATTGGCAGTTAATAGTGTAAACATGCTGTACAGTACCTTCATTAGAACTAAGGGTGTGAGTCTGCAGTAGCATGGCATGAAGACTCCAAGGCCAGGTCTGCACTACAAAGTTTTGTTGGCATAGCTGTGTTGGTCAGATGTGAAAAAACCACACCTCCTAGCTGACATAATTATGCCAGCAAAAATCCCAGTATAGATGCACATATGCTGACAGTGTGCTTCCATCAGCATAGTTAATATTCAGTGTTGTTGTAGTCATGTCAGTCTCAGGATATTAGAGCTCGTCTCTTTCAGCAACAGAAATTGGTCCAGTAAAAGATATTGTCTCTCCCACCTTGTCTCTCTAGCATAGCTAATGTCATTTGGGGGGTGGTAGTGTTCTTCCCAGCAAAAAACTCCTGTTGGTATACGCTATATCTATGGCAGGGGACTCTGTCAGTATAGCTAAACTGGCAAAGCACTTGTAGTGTAAACAAGCACCAATTGATTTAATGTTAATGCAATATTGCAAGAGAGAATTTAAATCCATAACAGTTGTGGTTCCTTCAGCAACCTTAGCTGGTTGCCCTTGCACATACATAATATTTTGTATTACTGGAGATGTTTTAAAATGTATTCCTTAATGTGTATATGGTTTTATTCATACACACACACACGTGATTCCTCCCCATCCCCTAATGTGAGTTACTTTTGTCCACTATACCCTACTGAAGGATTATGTAGATCTGCTTATAATGATCAGTTTGCACACAAAAAAACATGTTCATGTTGGAATACAGACTCATACATATTCATGTCCTGTGCTCAAACTACAGGAGAAAAATTTGGATGACAGAGCATATCGTAACATCCAGGAACTTGAAACATATGCTGACAACACTCATAGCGCTCTCTTGTATCTCACCTTGGAAATGCTGGGTATGTGCTTTTTCTTTATTTAGGGTTTTATGGAGAATTTATCAGTACTGCTATTACTGCTACTATATTTACTAATGGGGAAGATTTTCAAAAGTGCTGATGGTTGAGCTAATTCTGCTCCCATTAAAGCCTGCAGTAAAGCTTCCATTGACTTTAACGGGAGAAGAATAGGTCAATGCTCAGCACTTCTGAAAATCCAACTTTAAATCTATAAAATTAAGGGCTGTCGATTAATCGCCGTTAACTCACGTGATTAACTCAAAAAAATTAATTGTGATTAAAAAAATTAATTGCGATTAATCGCAGTTTTAATTGTACTGTTAAACAATAGAATACCAATTCAAATTTATTAAATATGTTGGATGTTTTTCTACATTTTCATATATATTGTATTCTGTGTTGTAATTGAAATCAAAGTGTACATTATTTTTATTACAAATACTTGCACTGTAAAAATTATAAACAAAAATAGTATTTTTTAATTCACCTCATACAAGTACTGTATTGCAATATCTTTTTCGTGAAAGTGCAATTTATAAATGTAAATTTTTTTTGTTACAAAACTGCACTCAAAAACAAAACAATGTAAAACTTCAGAGCTTAGAAGTCCACTCAGTCCTACTTCTTGTTCACCCAATCGCTAAGACAAACAAGTTTGTTTACATTTGCAGGAAATAATGCTGCCCTCTTCTTATTTACAATGTCACCAGAAAGTGAGAACAGGCATTTGCATGGCACTTTTGTAGCTGGTATTGCAAGGTATTTATGTGCCAGATATGCTAAATATTCGTATGCTCCTTCATGCCTCAGCCACCATTCCAGAGATATGGATGCTGCAGTAGCTGCCAGGTCACCTGCATTCTGACTAACTGGAAGATCAGGCATCTCCTCACCACTCACATCCTCACTGGGGCCGGAAGGCTCACCGTGAACATTTGTGTCTATGTATCTCAGGAGAACTCCTTCCTGCTTAGATAGAAAAGCTTCCTTTGCTTTTTGTCTTTTTCTGAATGCTGCCCCAAAGGGGTGTTTTCTTCTTTCACTCATGACTGCTGTTCTGTGCCAGCTACAGTAGCTCTCAACACTCGATTGAAGGGGACAAATAAGCAGGCTGGTAGCAGGGCCTGAGTGAGGGTAGATATCAGCCTCTTAAGGGCCTAACTGGCTCCTACTACTTCAGTTGACTGCCTGTTCTCCTCAAGTGGGTTCAGGGAAGCAGCAGGAAACAGCAACCTCCCTGAGAAGCTGGTGTTAATCAGTCCAGGCTCCTGGGGGTGCTAGAGAGATACATAAGAGGCTCCTCCTCCTCTCTCTCCCTGAAACTCCTGCTGCTTTCTGTTATTCCCTTTCACCTTTTCTCCTGCCTGCCTGTTATGTCTCTTGTGCCCTCCTTCCTCCAGAACAGCACTCCACCATCTCTCTGCATCTAGAGCAGAGAGAATACATATGCACCAGCAGCAGACACAATTTTCTACACTCTGGGTCCTAGTGGTGCCCCCCCCCCCACAGTCTGGCACCTGAGGCAGTCGCCTCATGGTAAGGCCAGCCCTGAACATATTTGAACCCTGTTATCAGGACCCAGCTCCCAGTCTTCTTTTCTCAAGACTAAACATACCCAGTTTTTTTTTTTAACCTTTCCTCAGAGGTCAGGTTTTCTAAACCTTGTATCATTTTTGTTGCTCTTCTCTAGACTCTCTCCAGCTGAGGCCTCACCAGTGCAGAGTAGAGCAGAACAATTATTCCTGTATCTCAGGGGTTCTCAAACTTCATTGCACTGCGACCCTCTTCTGACAACAAAAATTACTACATGACCCCAGGGGTAGAGGGGGAATCGAAGCCTGAGCCTGCTGGAGCATCACTGCCCCGGGCATGAGGGCCAAAGCCTAAGTCCCACCAACCTGGGTGCAGGGACCCAAACCCAAACACAAGAGCTTCAGTCCCAGGCAGGGGGCCTGTAATCTGAGCCCCACCCAGGGCTGTATCTTATAACACTCCTGTTAATACACCCTTGAATGGTATTTGACATTTTTGTAACTGCATTGCATTGATAGCTCATAGTCAATTTGTGATCCGCTGTAACCCCCAGATCCTTTTCAGCAGTACTACTGCCTAACCAGTTATTCCCAATTTTTTAGATGTGCATTTGATTTTTTCCTTCCTAAGTGTAGTACTTTGCACTTGTCTGTATTGATTGTCGATTTCAGACCAATTCTCCAATTTATCAAGGTTACTTTGAATTCTAATCCTGTCCTCCAAAGTGTTTGCAATCTCCCATCTTAGTGTCATCTGCATATGTGATGACCTTACCTGTCCTCCATGAGTTCCTAAAAATAATTGATAATGGTTCTGAGATTGTTTCAGCTAGTTCCTTCATTACGCTAGGGTGAATTTCATCAGGCCCTGCCAGCTTGACTACATCTACCTTATCTTTAACCCATTCTTTCCCTATGCTAGCTTGTGTTCCAACCCCCTTGTTGTTAGTGTTAATTGTGTTAAGCGTCTGGTCACAATTAACTTTTTTAGTGAAGACTGAAACCAAATAGGTATTAAACACCTTAGCCTGCTTGATGTCATCCATTATTAGTTCTCCTTCCCGCTAGGTAGCGGACCTTCATTTTCCTCCGTCTTTCTTTTTCCTAATGTATTTATAAAAACTCTTTTTATTGCCTTTTATGTTCCTTGCTAGGTGTAACTCATTTTGTGCCTTAGCTTTTCTGATTTTTCGCCTATGTTCTTGTGGTATTTTTTTGTACTCATCCTTAGCAATCTGTCCACATTTGTAGGATTCCTCTTTGATTTTCAGTTAATTAAAGAACTATATTGGTTTCTTACTATTTTTTTATCTTTCCTTCATGCCTGGATAGTTTGCTAATGTGCCTTTAATATTGTCTGTTTGAGAAACTGCTAACTGTCCTGAACTGCTTTTTTCCTTAAATTTTCTTCCCAGAGGACCTTACCTACTAGTCTCCGAGTTTGTTAAAATCTGCAATTTTGAAGTCTGTTGTTGTTATTCTGCTGCTCTCACTCCTTCTGTTCCTCAGAATCATGAATGCTATCATTTCATGCTTTCTTTCATCCAAACTCCTTTCCACCTGCAGATTTGCAACCAATTCCTCCCTGTTGGTCAGAATCAAAACTAAAATGGGTGCCCCTCTGGTTACTTCTTCCACTTCCTGAAATAAGAAGGTGCCCCCAACACATTCCAAGAATTTACTGGATGTTTTATGTTTTGCCATATTGATTTTCTAACAGAAATCTGGGTGGTTCCCCATTTTGTGTTTTGGATATTTCTGTTATTTGTTCTAGAGATGCCTCATCCTTCATCTCCCGATTTGGAGGTCTACCTTGACATTGCTTCCCTTTTTCCCCCTCCATTTCAATTTCAGAATGTCGAAATGTTTTGTTTGATTTCAGCATTTTCTACTAAAACAATTCAGTATTTCTGAATCAAATTTTTTTAGAAATGTCTGTTCTGAAAAAAAAAAAAAAAAAAAATCAAAATTTCAAATTTTTGTCTAGATTTGGGACAAATCAAAAGTTGAAATGTTAGAATTTCCTTTGGGACAGAAATTCTGAATTTCACTTGGCTTTGCTTAGTATTTATTGCTGAAATTTTATTCCTGGTTTCTTGTTCACTAGGGGTAAGGGGTTGCACTGATGTAACTACACTGATGTACTAGGGTAAACAGTACCAGTGCAAGTCAGTTTTCACACTGGTGTAGTGTATCTGTAATAGGAGTTTGAACTGGTTTAGCTACATTGGTATAGCTACACGAGTGCAAAAAATGCATTGTAGACTAGCCCTAAGAGATGTCTCACTCCAGAATGTAGTAATCAGTCAGCTAGTTTACTAGCTTTCACCTGTGAGATTAGGTCTCAAGGACAATCTGTGAACATATGCTGTTTGAGGCAAATATATTCTTAACAGCTGTAATATGAAAGTTGTGTAGTTTCTGCTCATGAGACTTGTTAATATGTTACACTCAGGCTATTCTATGGTTGGTTATGTGGTTTTTAACCTTTATTTCTGAAAATACAGGTGTGCGGGATATCCATGCAGACCATGCAGCCAGTCACATTGGGAAAGCACAAGGCATTGTCACCTGTTTAAGAGCAACTCCGTATCATAGTAAAAGACGAAAGGTCTTTCTTCCTATGGACATTTGTATGTTGGTAAGAAAGTATAGACTGGGAACAAACAATATAGTATCTCTAACTACATCTCTCAGCTTTAGATAGATAGTATTTTCTGTTAGACCAGAAAGTAAATGTCGAAGAGCCTAGTTGCTATTAGTAGAAGGTTCACTTCCTGTGGCTTGCAGTACCCCCAGCATGCTCTTTCAGTGATAGGGCTTTTCTTGGTCTTGTTGCTTTGCTTCTTTTGGGAGGTATGATTAGAGTGATTTTTTTTTTTATTTATTTTAGTACTAGCTCACTGAAATTTTTTAGTACTAAAATGCAATTCAGTAGCATTTTAGGATTTTTCTTCATGTGCAGAAATACACATGGAATGGGAATCAATTCCTTCCTCCCAGCGCTAAATTTTCTAGTGTTGTTCCCTTTGTTTCAGAATGAGCTCCCTAGCCTTCTCTTTGCTGTGCTGTGGTCATACTCTTGCTTTTTCTGTGCAACTCAATAGTAACTACAAGTATTTGCTCACTCATTGCTATAGCATGTGGGGTCTAGTTGTACAATTTGAGAGAAAACACCTAACTGGCACTGGAATTCAGCAGCCCTTACGCTAACAGGTAATTGTCAGTGACACAAGGATTAAAACACAAGTTTCCCATTAATGTTCAAATGAGTCTGTGGCTAAATCTATAGACATAGGCATTGAATATTTATTTAATAATTTATCTGTTTGCATTTTCAAATTATGACATCGTTCTCATTGCTCTTATATAAATCCATCTAATTGTGGCAGTGCTTAAGGCACATGCACTAGTCTTCTATTAATATCATTTAAATGTGAATTAATATCCTTGATTTGCAAGTTTTGGTTGTTTTGTGTAGAATAATGAAGAGCTCCAAATTTGATAACCTTTGGCTTTGCTTTCCTGCTAGGTCAGTATTATGTGAATGGCACAGAAGCATAAAATGGCTGATACGTCCATCCCAAACAGTAACTCATGATGGGGGCTGATTAGGGCCTTCCAACTTTCATATCTTTGTTTCAATATAACTTAATATCATATACCCAGGTACACATACACACACCCACACAGAATTGTGCTTGTCCCTGCCATCACAGCCATAGTCATGTGACTGTGAAACTTTTCAGTCATCGGTGGGTGTAGGAGATGGGTGCAAAGGTAATCTCCCTCTTACTCAGACTGCGAGTGTTGCAGAGACAAGAGGCATCTTGGCAGCTAGTCAGAGTCACCAGATTGCTCTTGAATCCATATCCTCTGTGTGGCTCTGTCTTCACTATAAAATTTTACCATATTCAATCAGCCTTGTGAATAAGTAAGTTAGTTGACATGATGCTGAACCAAACTTGTCTTAGTCTGCATTAACCACAGTGTCATTGTCACCATTGTGTCACCTAATTCAATTCTCCATAAGTGTTCAAACATGGTACCATTTGTAGTATAGACAGGAGCGCCGCCAGCTTTTCTGCCACCCTAGGCGGCGGAAGGTCCCGCCCCGAAATGCCGCCCCCCACAGAGGCGGCGGAAGGTCCTGCCGCCAAAATACCGCTGCGGTCGCCGCCCCCAAATTGTAGCACCCTAGGCGACCGCTTAGGTTGCCTAATGGGTTGCGCCGGCCCTGAGTATAGACCAGTCCTATGACAATACCTTTCTTCATGGACCAGCTGTTTTTCCGGTTAAGCCGTAACTTTTTCCTTTACCCTGCTTAGCCTCAGTTGATTGATTTTTTTTTTTTTTTTTTAACTTGACACGCAAGAAGTTGATTTCAGATGACCAGAATTTAAATTCTAGCTCAGTTATCCCTAGTTACTACAAAGTATTCAGAGAGTCAGTTTATGCAAAGACTGAGTTAGTTACTCTTTCCTGTCTTTTCCTTCACTGAGCTTTGCTTCCTACTGACTACTTTAAAAATATGCATAAACGTTTTTCAGATTTTTGATTGTAGTCTGGCTGCCAGGCAGGCTTCTGGCTTTCCTACTCTCTTGTTAAGCAGAAATGGGTGTTTTGTTTTTTGCTCTTCACTCTCAGCATGGAGTTTCGCAAGAAGATTTCATAAGAGCCAATCAAGAGAAAAATGTGAGAGATGTAATTTACAACATTGCCAGCCAGGCGCACGTTCATCTAGAACATGTGAGCTTCCTCTTTTCTTGTTGATAGCATATAATCAATTTTCATGTTTAGAAGTGTTGTCGAAATGTGGTGGTGTCTTGTTGGGCACCTTATTTATTGCATCAAATATTTTAAAAACACTTTTACCTTCATGTAGAAGATCAATCTCCCAGCCTATTCAGTCCTGGGTGCCTATGCTGAAAGTGATCATAAAAGTGCTGATTGCAATTACATTGAGGAGTACAGCCTTGTAGTGTTAAACTGATTGGTCCTTTGAGTTGGAGAATAAACCTACCAAAAAACTTATTCTAAAACAATAAAATAATTTTTGAATGGAGGTTCTCTTTATGGAAACACACTTGCATGAATTTATCTATATAGAGATAGCTGTATGTGTGTATAACTACTGACTGAAAGCTTTTGCACATACAGTAGAACCTCAGAGTTATGAAGACCTCAGGAATGGAGGTTGTTCATAACTCTGAACAAAACATTTTGGTTGTTCTTTCAAAAATTTACAACTGAATATTAACTTAATACAGCTTTGAAACTTTACTGTGCAAAATAAAAATGCTGCTTTTAACCATCTTAATTTAAATGAAACAAGCACAGAAAGAGTTTCCTTATCTTGTCAAATCTTTTTTTTAAACATTCTGTTTTTTTAGTGGTTTATGTATAACCCAGTGCTGTACTGTTTTTGCACTTTTATTTGTTTGGTCTCTGCTACTGCCTGATTGTGTACTTCCAGTTCCAAATGAGGTGTTGACTGGTCAGTTTGTAACTCTGGTGTTCATAACTTTGAGGTTCTATTCTATGTCATTATGAGATGTAGGATATGCAAGGGTGTGCCTGCACAGATTAGATTCCAGGATCACAGCCATAGACATAGTGCCAAACTTTTTTTTTTCCTGGAAACTACCTACTATATGCATAGTGAGCTACACCAGCGATGTTTCTCTGGTTTTGTTTTTGCCCCACAGCCAGTCGAATTGGGATCACTGTTTCAAACTTCAGTATTTGTGCAACGGCTTTATCACAGGTTGTTATTCACATGGATCAATTAGTGGATCTGAACTTAAGAAGCCACACTGAGACCTACTCTTTACCTCTCTGTTGCTATAAATATTGAAAATAAAACATACGGGCTATGCTTATAAAAAGCACTTTGGTACATACTACATAAGCACTTGTACATTTTCCCATTTCTCCAGAAAATATAAATAGTACAAGAAGTGCTTTTAACCAGATGTTACAACAATCTCTCTCTGTGTGTGTGTATACATTTAATTAATTAATTGCATTAAAAAACTGCATTAAAAGAACATTAAGGTGCAAAGACAAGCTCTCAAAAGTTAAATGCCAGAATTAAGGTTGCCTGTGCAACCTTAGTTCAGCCCCCTTGTGCTTATGCATTGTGATATTCTTTAATTACATAATTATACATAATGACATCCTTTTCCCCCCCACAGCATCCCTGCCTCATTTAATGAATGGGTCTTCAATATTTCTTTTTATCTTTCATAGTTGGCGTGTGCCACCAGGCCTTATTTAGCATCATCCAAACACTGCACTAATTACAAAATTATTAACTCCCTCATGGGAATTTTTATGGTGCTCTCACTATAGTATCTGAATACATCACAACATCTCTGTGAGATGATGATGATGATGATTATTATCATTACAGCTGGGCAACAGAGGCACATAAAGATTAAGGTCAAAATTGTCAAGTGTCCACTAATTTTGGTTGTCCAATTTGAAACAACTAAGTCTTGATTTTTCAGAGTGTTGGCTATTTCCTAACATTTCCTAAGTTTTGCGTGCTTGACTTTGCAACCTTAAAATTCTTCTTAGGATTTTTGCATATAATTTCCTAACTTAAAAAAAAAAAAAAGCTGACCCCAAGAATTCTACCATATGGAACCATGTTAACCCCAACTTTGGGTCATCAGCACAGTTCAGACCATTGGAACTAACCGTCACTGGTAGCAGTAGTGGGTTGTTATCCTTTATCTGGACCAGTCACTAGAGGGAGGATGAGATGCTTGTTTTTGCCGGTGGATTTCACAGGTATTTGCTGACAGCAGAGGAATGGAGAGATTTAGGATGCCAAGGTTCAATTCCAGGTTTTGCAAGGGAGTGTCTTAGTGTTTATGAGGGGTTTGGGGTGCAGGCTGCCCCGGGGCTGCGGTGGGAAGAGAGGGTTCCCGCAAGCCTGCCTGGACTGGGCCAGGCCAAGGGAGGGGCTCCTCGCTCCGGCTGGGCTGGGCCAAGGGGAGGGGCTCCTCTCCCTGCTGCGGCAGGTCTGCACTGGGGCCGCCAGGGAGGGGCTTCTCTCCCCGCCGCAGCCCTGGGCCCCTGCAGCCCTGAGCCCCTGCGCGGGGCTTAATAGGCAGCTGCACGGAAACTTGGGTAGAGTTAATTTACTCATTTAATTTACTGATCACTGGTTGGTCTTTCCATGACTAGACTAAGGCCTGGTCTACACTACCAAGTTAGGTCAATGTAAGCTGCCTCGTGTTGACCTAGTTGTGCATGTATCTACACTTAAATTTGTCTCCCACCAATGTAAACTCTGAGAAAGTACTGCGGTCGATGCAGTGCGAATGTAGACGCTAACAGTCCTCCAGCAGCTGTTCTACAATGCCCAACACTGACTGCTCTGGTCACAGTTGAGAAGTCCACTGCCTGGGTGTCAGAGACTGGAAGTTCCTCCCCTTAAAACCCTGCAAATTTTTTAAATGCCTTTTCGTGATTGTCCATATTGGCGAGCACACCTAGCAGCTCTCCATTATTGTGTGCAGCTGCCCAGCTGACCATGCAGGCTACGCGTTCCAGACGCACTCCAGCCTGGAATGGACAGGAGCTATTGGGTCTCCTGGGCCTGTGGGGAGAAGAGGCTGTGCAACTATGGCTATGGACTAGCCGTAGAAACATGGACATCTATGAGCAGATTGCTGAGGGGAAGCAGGAAAAGAGATATGATAGGAATCAACAGCAGGACTGTGTGAAAGCAAAGCAACTGTGTCAGGCATATCATAAGACCAGGGAGGCCAATAGTCAATCCTGTGCTTAGCTGTCACTCTTACAAGGAGCTGCATGCCATACTTGGTGGGACATGCAACTGGGAGGTCCAGCTCTGCCATGAGCCAGGACATGTTTGAGACTCCATCTCAGTCCAGTTGATCCTGGCAGTCGAGCATGGGTGAGTCTGATGGGAAGGAACCTTGGGTAAGTGTATACGTTTTTCCTATTACAGTGATGGCACCTCCCAACTTAGCAGGACACAGCTATTGACTTTTCATTAATTTACTTGTACTAGAAGAAATAGTGGTACAACAAAGAAAGGTAGAATTATCTGCTTTTCATTCCCCTGTAGAGTTAGGTAAGGGGGGCCACAACATATACTGCAGAACGTCTGGTGGTAGCGAAAGTAACCAGTTAGTTGTTATGGTACACTATGCCACAACTCATAGGATCAGTGACAAATACAGTGTAATAATCATATATGTACAGCAAGCACCACAAAATTAATAGGTGCATTGACAATGTTATATTAATAGATGTGTACCAAGCACCACACAATTCCTAACAGGTCTTCAGACTGCAGGGTCAGCTAGAGCAAAATCCACAGTAATGTGTTGTGGTATATTGCCAATAAAATCTTCTTTCAAAGCATCCCTGAGCGGTTTTGCTCTGTGCCTTGAGAGTAAATAATGCCAGTGCCCCTCCAATCTACCAAAAGCACATTAAACTGTCGTTTTTCACCTGCTGAGCTGGTAGTTGAGTCTTTCCTTGTTGCTGTTTAGGTGGCCAGCATATGGCTTAATGAACAAGGGGTATCCTGGCTCCCGAAGGATCACTATTAGCATTTCAACATCGCCAATGGTAATTTGCTGGTCAGGAAAGGAAGTCTGGGCTTGTAACTTTCTGAAAAGTCCTGTGTTCTTAAAGATGCGAGTGTCCTGCACTTGCCTGACAGGACAACATTGATGTCAGTAAGGTGTCCCTAGTGATGCACCAGCACTTGCATAATCACAAAAAATAGGCCTTTCTGTTGTACTCTGTGGCAAGGTGGTCTGGTGCCAAAATAGGAATATGTGTGCTGTCTATTGCTCCACTGCAGTTCAGGAACTCCACTGCTGCAAATCCATCCACTATGTCCTGCATATTGCTGAGAGTCTCAGTTCTGCATAGCAGGAGATGATTAATGGCCCTGCACACTTGTATGACAACCACTCCCACAGTGGATTTTTCAACTCCAAAATGATTTCCCACTGACTAGTATCAATCCAGCATTGCAAGTTTCCATAGCATGATAGCCACTTACTTTTCCACTGTCAGTGCAGCTCTTATTCTGGTGTCCCTACACTGGAGGGCTGGGGCAAGCTCGGCACACTGATCCCTGAATGTGGCCTTGTGTGTCTGAAAGTTCGGCTCATCATCCCAAGCTGCATTAGGATGCAATCCCACCAACCAGTGCACCTTTCTCGGGCCCAAAAGCAGTGTTCCACTGCTTGCAGCTGCTCTATGAACACCACCATCCATCTTGAATGGTTCTATGTCCTACAGCAATATGCCCACCAGGAAATTGTGATGTTTCTCCTGGCTCCTCTTGTGGCTCTGCAGATATTGGAGGATCATGCATCCTGTGCATGCAATGCTTATGACAATACCGCAGGCTCCGTAGTTCTGTCAGAGATGGCAGATGGTGACAAGTCCCATGTGGGTTTGTGAGATTTTCATAATAGGCACAACAGTTCTGGGATAGAGGTGGAGAAAGTAGCATAATGGGAACTGCACCCTGCAGTCCCAGTCACCCTGCATGACTTGTTTGTGCCCCACTGTGCATTGCACCGTCTTTTGGGAAGTTTTGGCACTGGATGGGGGCAAGTTGTACACTGGCATACTTACCCATAGTGCACTGCATTATGCATCGACACAAACACTCCTTGTGAGTGCACACACTGCCAACACAAGGAGTCAGGTATGCACGTTCACAAGCAACATAATAACTGTGGCGGCTTTATGCCAATGTGACCTGTGCCGGCAAGTTTTGTAGTGTAGACATGCCCTAAGTGATGTGATATGCTCCTGCAATGACAGTTACTGCAGATACTGAGGGAGTGTTAAATTTATAACCAGTAGAGGGCAAAATAAGCTGTTGAAGAGAGTAATTTTCTTTAAAAGCTCTGTGATTAAAATACAATGAAAACAATCAAAATTGTATTGAATACAAGTGAAAGTTCTGTTGCAAAGGCAGTCCCTTTTAACAATCTTAAGTCCTGCTGACACCTTTTTTTTTTTTTTTCTTTTTAAAAATATAGTTCTATTCTGAAATGTAACTCTGGAAAGATGGCTTCTGTTGTTTCTTTGTATGCTTCTCAATTGTTCAACATCAAATGTGCTCAGTTTACCAAGCAAAAAGATGTTTTTCTAACTGTCAGCCTTGCAAGACATGGGAAAGTCAAGCTGGATCCTTTTCTGGCTCATGCATCATGACCAGTAAATATAACCAACAAAAGTGTGTTGTAGGTTTAGTTAAGGGTGAACTTAACCCCGCAAAATGGGGGGTGGGGGGTGGGAATTGTCCTTTATTTCTTCTGTTTAACCTCCAAGGTTAAAATAAAAAATCCTGCTCTTTGGAATATTTAAGGGATATTTCTTTCAGTTGAGGGATGTTAAAGCTGTATTTCAAGATTCAGCCTATTACTATTCCATTCTATTTGTCCAGTTCTCCAGGGGGCTATTTAGAAAAAACAGGGAATTCAATCATTGATATTCTTGGTATTTTTAAAGTTAAAAAAGCAGAACAAATGTTTTTGGAAAAAAACACTGATCCTGTATTTATAAATAAAGAAATATTAAAGGACAATTTTTTCTTTGTGGTTTTTCTTTTAGGTTCAATGAACTGTATACCTTGATTTAAAAATAATGCAACTGCAGTTTATGCTCCAGTCCTGCAGTCAGATCTGTTGTCTCAGACCCCCGCAGCCATGCAGAGCCCCATAGAAATCAGTGGGGCTTTGCCCAGACCCAGTGGTCTGAGCTAGTGGATCTGATTGCAGCATTGGAACCTAAGGCTATGTCTACACTACAGATACTACAGCTACAGTGCTACAGCTGTTCTGTGATGGTGCCATAGTATAGATACTGGATACAGTGAGGGAAGTGTTTTTTTCATTGCTGTAGTTACAGCTGGTAGTTAGGTCGATGGAAGAATTCTTCCAACTACCTAGTGGTGTCTACACCAAGGCGTAGGTTGGCTCTGTCTCTCTCAGGGGTGTGAATTTTTTGTACTGCTGAGTGACATAGCCAGGTCAACTTAAGTTTTTGGTGTAGACCTGCCCCAAGTTATTAATTCTTATGATGTGGAGACCAGAAGTCAGCCCCCCACCCCCTCTCGTACATTGCTAACAGGAATAAAAGTATTAAAACAAGCAGAACACATGGGGAGCAGATATGTGGAATAAAAATATACCAGTTTACCTACAGTTTAAGCCTGCGAAAAGGCACAGGAATGGTAACAGGCATCTCACAATATTAGACACTTGGTTTTGTAATTACTTCTATATATGCTGAAGGATGGTGCTTGGTTTTTTATATAAAGAAAGTTGTACTCTTCATTGCAGTATATTCAAATGTGAAAGATTTAAGCTCATAAGTTTTGCCAGTTTGAGCCATAAAACTCAGTATTTGAAATTCACTTTGACATGGTAACTTCCCTACTCAATATTTTTTTCCTTCTCCTTTCAGGCTAGGTCTTTCAGTAAAAATGTTCCTGTTAAAGCATTTCCTGCCTTTCTCTATACAGTAAGTGTGATAACAGTGCACTCTTTAAGTGGTGAAGTAATTTGTGACTAGTTTAAGTTTCTGAATGGTAATGCACCAAGTTAAATGTTAATTAGTAATAGTTTTTTTTTTTATTTCAATGGGAGTCCTGGGTGCTTAATACATCTGAAAATTATACCACCTAATTAGGTGGTTTAGATGTTTATAAAATAATATTTCATATACTGCTGTTTGTATCTGATAGCTATTTGTGTACGTTATACATACTAAACCTTTTTTTCTTTTCTAGGTTGCTTTAGAGGATTATTTATATAAAATACAGAAAGTAGATTTCAACATATTCCATCCAAGCTTACATAAGAAGAGTACGTTACTACCATTGTATTTATATATTAGATCCTGGGAAAAAAAATATTAAAAATAGACTTAACATGTCAGACTGAGTACTGCTTTTTTTAAACTGATAATTTTATAGAAATGTTTTTGTTAAATAAGCAATTTTGTTACACATTCTGTGAACTGTTCTTAATTGGAAGTAACATATGAGCATGACCTGTAGCTATTAGCTTGCTGATCATAGGAAAAGCTTGTTCTGGTCAGTAAATTAGGCAGATGTGATTTGGCAGACACACAGATATGAACTGTTCTAAGGTTACTCTTGTAGTCATTTTTTTGTAATAACCACACTTATTATTTACTTGAAGCCAAATTTTACTTGGGATAATCCCCCATTAATATTATTTACTATTTATTCCTGGCAGCATATGCTATCTGCTAAATGCTTTCCTAACATAAAAGAAGACCTGATTCCTGCGCAAAAGAGCTTACAATCGATACTCTCGTATTCAGCTAAGCAACATTATTTAGTATTTTACAAATTACACATTACACAAAGCAACATTTCTTGTGTATGCCATTGGTTTGATGGCACCACCACTTAAATCCTTCTTGATGCCTTCATCTTGTCCCCAAGTCCTTGCTCTTGAGTCCCCACATGGGCAGAAACCTGCTTCTGAGATATGCTGGATGTTGACACTTCCAACTCTCGATGGAGTTCCTCCATATTTCAATGGGAATTGTTAGGTGCTCAGCATCTCTAAAGATAACAACCTAAATGCTCAATATTTCTGATATTTGTTTTCTTTCATAAAATCGTGCTTCCTAATATCCATTTTTGTTTGTTGCACAAATCCTGTAGTTTCCTTTGCTATCATCCTTTTCCTGTTGCATAGATATTTTGCATTTAGAGGTTTTTCTTTCTTTCTTTCTTTTTTTTTAAATCAGGATTAATCTCCCCAGATGCTTGGTTGCATAACAAGATCCTGTGTTTTTTATTGCACAGTGCTACATAATGAATTTCTGAGAGCATGAGCCGTAGCTTTTTCTGTCACAGGATCTGTTACTATGGAGGAAACTTTGGGAATCCAATATTAAACATTTAAAACAATTCCATTGAATGAAAGACTAAAGCTGTGCTTCTTACCTTGATTATATTTTCAATGATACAGGTATTTATCAGTCTTGCAGTTCACTATTTCTGAATGAGAAATTTCAATTTGAAGCAGTTTCTTTCAGGACTTTCTCTTGACTCTGTATTCTGTGTTGTTACAAATGCAGTAAGCAAAGTGGGCATGAAAGTAAAAAGGCATCTTGGGCATTATGCTGTCATGTATGAATACACTGGATTCTTCCTCCCAGGACTAGAAGTCAGGAAATCTTAAAGGTTCAGTATTGCGATCACCATCCCTTCAGTCAACTAGCTCATCATTGCTGTTTTTGAATCTGCCAAAAGGGTCTGCTTAAAAAAATAGTTACTGTTGCCACCACAGTGCTCCCTAATGCTCTACTAAGCAACACATTTTCTCTGATTTGTTCTGTGTTTCTATTTTAAAAAAAAAAAAAGCATTACAACTGGCTCATCCTGCAATTGGTCCACAACCGTCTTCTTAGCATGCTGAGTCAGGGCAATAGAAGCAGCCCTATCTGTCTTTCATTAAGAGGAGTCTCTCTAGAAAGTTGAAATGCAGCAGGAAACTGATACAGTAACTTAGTGCTGAGTGGGAGAAGACAGGAAAAACCCAGCAGTATAGCCAACATATAAGTTGTTAAAACTGAACTCGTGGCTTGGAAGCAGAGCAATGCCTTGCTTCAGTGCTGGATCTGAGGAGAGTTGACTGCCGTAGCTACAGAAGAATCAATCAAAGGGCTAATCTGTGCTAATGTTAGTAACCATGTGATATAGTGAATGGCTAGCATACTGGTAGAGAAAGCTTGTCAGTGAATTAGTAAAAAGAGTATGGAATAAATCAGTTAGTGTTCTGTTTGGTCACATGAGAGTTTATGGTGACCTTAGAGAATAAAGCAACATGCGGAATCACAAATGGCAGTAGGCTTTTTTTAATCATACAATTTATTTTATCTCCTGTATACCCTTTAGGAGACCATTTTCCCCTTTCAAGTGCATGCATAATTCTGGTTTTAGGAATGATGTGTGTGCATGGAGTTGAGAATATGCCCTAAAATAATTTAAGTACCTCTCAACCTCAGTACAGATCTTAATTTGCCAATGCCCCACCATATATCGTATCGTTTATTGCTTGTAATCATGGCCATCAGAATTGGTGACTGAAAATAAATCTTTTTCCTTATATAATGTAAATTAATCCCACATTCGTGGGATTAGAGTCTTTCTATTTTTAGTTATGTTCTGGATTTCTCACTTAAATATTTTCTCATATTTGTGCACTTTATGAGAGATATGAACAACCAGCTGATTTGGTGTTGGTACTTCAGTAGACTAATTGGGGGACATTTTCAAAGACACAAATAGTGATAACTGCCATTAATGCCTTTGTAAAACTCTTCCATTGCCTGTTGACTAGTTAGCATAAAATGACTGATCTGGTTGCTCAAATTCTGTTTTGATTCTGGAAGTGAATGGTACAAAAGCAATAGGTTGCATGTCTTTGTTTCAGTGGCTGCAAAAATTAATCTGCTGGTCATATAATTTATTCCTTGAAGGCCCAGTCATAGAATCATAGGACTGGAAGGGACCTCAATAGGTCATCTAGTTCAGTCCCCTGCACTCAAGGCAGGATAATATAATAATTAGATCATTCCTGACAGATGTGTGTCTAACCTGTTCTTAAAAAGAAGTTTCCACAACCTCCCTAGGCCATTTGTTCCAGTGTTTAACCACCCTGACAGGAAGTTTTTCCTAATGTCCAACCTAGACCACCCTGGCTGCAATTTAAGCCCATTGCTTCTTGTCCTATCCTCAGAGGTTAAGGAGAACAATTTTTCACCCTCTTCCTCGTAACAACCTTTTATGTACTATTACATCTCTCCTCAGTCTTCTTTTCTCCAGACTGAACAAACCCATTTTTGTTTAATCTTTCCTCATAAGTCATGTTTTCTAGACCTTTAATCATTTTTGTTGCTCTCCTCTGACCTTTCTCCAATTTGTCCACATCTTTCCTGAAATGTGGCACCCAGAACTGGACACAATACTTCAGTTGAGGCCATATCAGCACGGATTAGAGTGGAAAAATTACTTCTCATGTCTTGCTTACAACACTCCTGCTAATACATCCCAGAACAATGTTTCTTTTTCTTTCTTTTTTTTTTGGCACAACAGTGTTACACTGACTCATATTTAGCTTGTGATCCCTTTCTGCAGTACTCCTTCCTAGGCAGTTATTTCCCATTTTGAATGTGTGTAACTGATTGTTCCTTCCTAAGTGGAGTATTTTGCATTTGTCCTTATTGAATATCATCCAGTTTACTGCAGACCATTTATACAGTTTGTCCAGATCATTTTGAATTTTAATCCTATCTTTCAAAGCACTTGCAACCCCTCCCAGGTTGGTATCATTCACTAAGCTCCAGGTTGGGACCCCAGGTTCAACAATTCCTAACCTGGGGTTACAAATGAGTGTAGACACTCAAGCCCTAGGTTAATGAACCATGGTCTTCTAACTTGAGTTCTGCTAACTCGAGGGTTTATATTGCAGTGTAAACATACCCTGTGTACCCAGCAGTTGAATTCAACACAAAGTAGTGCGGAGACTGACCCTATCACTTCCATCCAAGGATCTTAACCATTGCTAATAAATTCTCACAACAGTTGTAGGAGAGAGTTGTTCGTATTCATTGTACAGATGTGACAACCAAACCATGAAGAGCTGAGTGATTTGCCTAAGGTTACATCAGAAGTCTGTACTGTAACAAAGACAAGAGGTTCTGACCTATACTCCTATATTTTAACCACAATACTATCCTTTACCTTCTAATGCTGTCTCAAGAAAACAATGTGAAAGGGTTATGGTCTACCTCAAAATGCTAAGAGAGAGCTGAATTTCTGCTCCAGGGGTCAGATACCGAAAGACTGTAACTGGGAGTCTTGAACCCCTTTCTGCCCACTCTACTGGGTGACTTCTGCCATAACAGTCTGTAGCAGTGAATGGTGGAGCATTGTGAGCACGCCAGAGGAAGTGGCGGGAGCAGAGCTAGAAGATTCATGCAACTAGGGATTCACTAGTCTCCAAATTCCACATATGAAGAGTAGTGGGATATATCTCTTGTTCTATATGCCCGCTGTAGAGTTCAGGGAGCATCTACGACCCACTTACTGCAGGCTGCGGCTAAGGATTACTCAATCCTGTATGCATTACTCTGAGCACATGGCCCATTTACGCCTGCTATGAACTGGGGGCCAGATCAAAAGAGATGGGACTGTAAAAAAGTCTACAAATTATCTAATTCTCAACAACCCACGCACATGGCTGGAATTTGCCTAGAAATAGAAATCCTTTCCTTGACACGATGCACAATCCACAGCTCATTTTAAACTGTAAGTAGGCAGAATGTGACAAGCGAGGACATTTTTCTTTAATTTAGCTCTAATTGATTTGTCCTTTTTTAAAATTAGTTCAGTCGTAGCTCATCAGCCTGAACCCAAATATCATAATTTTTCCTTAAGTACCCAATGAATCAGTCTGCCCCCTTAATCTTCAGATTCACTGGCAACCTATAATGAGTCTCAGGATCTCTTTTATTAAACATGCCAACCCACAATGTTTTCCTAGAATCAAAACCAGACAGGAATAAACTCTGGACTTTCTTTAGTAAGCAAATCTATTATACAGACATCCCAATGCTGTTTTCAACCTGATATACATCCATGATGTCTATAAATGGCAGTGTTCAATACTGAGGATTTTTTATAAGTCAATTAAGGATATGTCTTTTTTGCAGCTAGAAGGTGTGATTCCCAGCACAAGTAGACAGTTTTGTGCTAGCTTAGCTCTAGCTTGTGTGCTAAAAATAGCTGTGTGGACATTGCGGCACTGGTGGCAGCTTAGGACACACTCAGGTCCAAGCCCACCTGATCCCCTGGGTCTGAGCTCAAGTGTCTGGCTGAGCTACTGCCAGAGCCACAATATCCCACTGCTAATTTTAACCCTCTAGCTCAAGCTGAGCTATCTGCACTGGGAATCGCACCTCCTAGCTGCACAGTAGATATACCCTAAAAGGCCCAGATTGATACCAATATCTATGGTATTTATAAAGTGTCTTATACAGTGGTATCTAAACACAAATACTAATCAAAAACTGGATTTGTACATGTAAAATGGCACTTAGGTACTTATCTGATTTTCACTGCAAATGCAAGATATATCTATGTAGATATAGGATAAGTCTAGCTATATGCACTAGAGATGAGCAGAAGGGAGGGGGAAATATGTGAGTGCAAGAGACTCATTAGGCCAGATTTTCAGAGGCAGGGTGCCTGAGGTGTGGCTACAGAAACTGCATACAGACCTGTTGTGCCTGCAAATCTTGCATTTGCAAGTGAAAATCAGATAAGTGCTTAAATGCCAATTTGCATGTACAAATCCAGTTTTTAAGAACCGGTATTGGTACTTAGATACTAAAGTAAAGACACCTTATAAATACTATGATAGATTAGATTAGATTTACTGATTGTCATGGATGTACACAGAAACGCTGCAGGCACAATATAAGTACTTGCTGATTTGAAATTTTGGTCCAAAATGTTTTGCAAGATTTAGGTTTGCTGTGTTTTAAACATTCACTGAAAAATAAAAGGGAGCCACAGTACACATGCAGGAGACTTCATAGCTGGTGACTGTAGTTTAAATCTTGGTTTGTTTATAAAAGTAAAATCAGCTAGGTGGCTTAATCTATTATGTCTCTATGAAATATTGTCCACTAGCCAATTTACCATGATTGACAGAAGAGCTGATGATTATAATGGTTAATATAGATAGGCTATTCAGGTCAGGATTGAGCTGCATTAGGAAAGCTGGTAGAGAACCTGCCTGCGCGATGCTTGGTTATAAACTCCCAGTGTTATTCGTCTCCTACTTGCATAGAATTTAAAAAAGGTCCAAGAAAATCCTCATTTAGTCAGTTTAAAAACAAGGTAAGGTAAGTCTGAATCCCTTTGAGTTGCAAAGACAGCTCTATGAATGTAGTACTGTTATGCTTGCAATACAGACTGAAAGGGTACAGAAACAGGTGTGAAATTCCTCCATTTACATGAAACTGAATTTAAAAGCCTATTTTAAATAATATAATTTCTAACGTTTTAAAGATAGATGATCTAAAATCGGAGCAACTGGCTTCAATCCTTGACACTAGATTGCATCTTTAACCATTACATTACACAGTAATATTTAATATCTCTACCTGTGCATGTTTTTTTTAAAAAAACGTATAATTTGTTCCTGACCACACAGACTAGTTCAAATTGTGCTGTGGCTTATTGTTTTAAGTTCTGTGG